GAAACTTAATATAGTGTGTCACCCACAAAATATTTATATTTCCTTGCGGCTTTTTTTCTTACTCACATCTGACATCGACGTATGCCCATCTTACAGGGGTTGTTTTATTTTGTTTTTTTCTGAAGACAGTTTGACATGTCACAGTAAAAAGAAGCACAGGTGTGAATAATAAAATGACTGATTTGGTGAAATTTTGAGCAGCTGTGGCTCAGATGGTAAGCTCATCCTGTTGCATGTCACTGTGAGAATGTGGTTTATAAAGTATTGCGAACGCACTTTGAGTGGTTGAAAGAGTAGAAAGGTGTTATACTATTTGTGCTTTTTCCCCCCCGACGATGACAAGAAGCTCGGGTAGCGTAAATTAAAGCCTGTTTCAATTGCACCATGTCACATTTTGTTTTTATTGACACACCAACTTTTCAACCTCAACTATGTGCAAAACATTTTTGTGAAAGGTTAAGGGTTTGTTTTTGTAATTCAGTGTTCCCACTTTTTATGCACAAATTGAAAATTTAAAACAGATGGATGGAAAAGAACTGACTGTAAATGACTTCATCTCCTGACAGCAACAACCCCCCGACTAGAATGAGCTAAGTGCAACTTGATCTGATCAGTCGTGACTTACAAATGATCACAACAATCCACCCGACGACCATAATGTGCCACGACCACTTTTTGTCTGATGAGCTTTTCTCCTTCCATCCTAATTAGCCTGTATCATGGAGTGAGGATGGAGCATCATATTGGCAGTGTCCTCTCTACCTCTTTATATGTGGATGGCGGATGAGACAGTTTGCATCAATAGCAATAACAGTTATGCAGATACAGTTTATCCGAGAGATGGACGCCTCATTGATTGTGCATTTTTAATCCAATAATGGATGGATAAGCAAAACACACCTGCCTCTCACATTCAGCCTGACAATCAAACTCTAAGAAGCCATTTACTTGATCGTAAGACTCCTCTAAAGCAAATTAGTTTTGGTCAATATCCTATTGCAACTAAATGAATCAGAACACCATTAGGTGAAAGGACTGTAGATTCTTTCAATGCACCAAAATCACATTATGCCCTCTGTTCACCGGGTACGCTTGGACTTTGAGAGACCCCAAAACTGCTTCAACAAGTGTTTTTCATTCACATTCACCAGAAGACGTACATTTTTATAAGATTGAACCCTGAGAAATGGATGCAATTCACAATTTGCACATATTTACCATAACAAACCTCTTTAGGTTCTTAATTTCTTCTGAGAACATTTGACTTGACCCCGTAGGGCAAAGCTTATAAAAACATAAAAGTGCCTTTTTTATCTTACAAAGAAATGATACTTTTGGCTAAAGGTCGTTTCTAATGTGGCAAACAAGACATGCTCTGAGAGTCACTGTCCACTATCCACTATCCTCCTGACAGCTGAAGTGATTATTTATTTAGTGACACTCACCTGAAGCTGCCATAGACGATGAGAAGGATGGAGATGAGGAAGGTGGACACCTGGCTGGAGTCAACTAGGGAGTACGCCCTAAAGAAGAGGGAGAGAGGAATACAAACGTGAGAACAAACTTCTATAATTAAACAAGTGGGGGAAATGGTTTTAATTGAATTTGCAGACAAAAGTAGGGTTTTTGCTGCTAAACTGTTTCCATAAGAACTGTCTTCATACGGACATCACACTGATTAACTGGAACAACTTGTATGTTTTACTTTTCTACTAAACAAGTTAAACATGAAAACCAGGAAAGTAAATCAGCCTTAAAATACACAAATGACACTGTAAAAAAAGACTCCAAGCCTGTGTTAATCTGCTGCTTCCTCCTTTTGTTGGTCCCGACTGGAATCTTTTACACATTGCAAGTTGCCATTTTTGCCCAAAACACAAACAACTTATTTTTGACCACATTGCTGAGTCATTACAAGCGGAGGTGAGCGAAAACGCGTTTGTTGTTTGAGTTCAATCCCCATCTGACGTGCAGAGAGGTCCTGTTATCCGTCAGATTCTTTTTTTTTTCGGTGTGTAATTTAATGTTTGATAAGCTTCTCTGATCATTTTTGAAAGAGACACAATCTGTCCCCCACACATTTTACCCTGCATTATCCTTTAGTAATAACAGGGCTATTTTAATTAAATATTACAGAATGCTGTTGTATGGTTACCTGACTAGATGTTTATTGTGTCTAACAATGCATCCAAATGTCCAGTGGCACAACAGCAAAATAAAATAAGTTATTAACTGGGGCTATTTTGAAATTAGAGACAGGGAGGGAGAATGGACCAGATACTAAACCACATCTACTTTAAATTGGATTATGAAAGAAAAATCCGAACTTCAAAAGCAGGCTAGAACACTACCCTTGGATTTGTTTAACTGTACTAAATTGCACATGTTTCTCTTAGACATATAAATAATCAGTTTGTTTATCACTACTGCTCTGAATCCCTGCAGACACTCAGGCCCCTCCAAAGAAGGCAGGCAACCACAATAATGTCGGGTGGAGCAAACTTTATATCAGGAATTAATACCAAGAACCAGAGCATGTGAATAACAGCAAGTGTTGACTAACTGGGCAGTATATCCATTTTATACACTGGCAAACTGACCTGTGCATTGTGTCTGTAATGAGAACTGCAGTCAAAATTATGAGATGAGAAGACTATCCAAGTGGAGAACATCTAATATAATGTGAAAACATCCTCAGTCACCACACAACGCACGGATACTGCACGCTCTGAGAAAATGCTGTTGTTTTGGCATGGTGCTGAACTTATTCTGTTCCCCTGAGATCAGTGGGCCTCATAATTACACACAAGGAAGCAGCGAAGAGAGGAAAGTGAAACAATTCGATAAACAATAAGAATTGCAAATTTTGTTGCATTTAAAAAAAAGAACTGGGGGGGGAAAAAAACAAGCAATCGATTATGAAATTAATAAGGCAAATGTGATCCATAGGGACTGCTCACAACAGTGGCCAAATTTTGATAAGGCCTATTGATGTAATTCTGGAGCGTATGATTCATTCATTCTATTTACATAACTCTCTGGATCCCAGTGCAGGGCAATTAATTTTATTTTATTTTCAATTATGATTTTGGCTTCAAATGATTATGGAAAAAAAAAATATATAACAGATAAAACCATTATTGCGTCGCATTCCTTTTCACAAACATGTTCTTGTTTTGTTTTGTGTTATTAACCCAGCGCACCCATTTCCATTACAGAGGAGCACTTTTCGCTTCACCCTCCCTAAAAGCCCAGACTCACTCCAGGTTGTGGTTGTGTTTAGTTCAGCTTGAGCCAAGATGAAGGAAAGAGAAGCTTTTGGTCAACATGAAAGGTAAAACCCATTCAGCTGTTTGGAACTTTGGTATCAAGGAGTCTTTTTGAAAAGTTCAATAAACGTATGATGAAATCTTGTTAAATAATCGTGATCTCGTTATCTCAAATTCATATATAAATATATATATACACACCAAAATAATTGTGATTGCGATATTATATTTGAGCAGCCCTACAAGATCCTGTCCTGAAACATCACACAGATGTGCAGTAATATTTCAACATGAGTGTTAAAATGATTCACTGTATGGGAATATATAACCATGGTGTTCATGCAAGCTATTCCTACTACAATGTCTTTACAATCTGGTGAAAACTATTTTATACCAATCTGGGTTTATTGCAACTAATCTGTAGTGAAATTACTGCAGTAACCGCAGAAAAGGCTGTAAAAATCTAAATAGCTCTTGACCTACATCCTCCCTGTGGGATCTGTGCATGTTCTTGTGTTTTGTGAGACAGACTGATGAAGGACATTATAATTCCTCAGCTAAGGGTTGCTGTTAAAAAGAGCATCTAAACACACTTCAGATTGAAGATGGTTGGCATCTTAGTTCTGTACATTCTTGATGAAGAATAAACATGGCTTAAACATATGACTCATCCAGCAACTTCATACAAACTGATTGTCCCGGCTCTCAGAAACAAGGTTGTAAGATTACACAACTGACTCATACTAAAAATTCAGCATAAAGTCATTTCGCTCATTTTTTTCCAGACAAATGCGTAATCAGGCTTCTAGTTTGAAGACTGATGTTGCGTCTAAGCACCAAATTGTTCCCATATCAATGATCTGGGGCCTTGACATAGCGTAGAGTTGACATGCAACCTCATAATGCAGGCCTTTTTCTGGGGCAAAGACAAGGCTGGCATTGTGAAGTGAAGTTCAGTTGAGAGGTGCAGATTTGACCCCAGCCCTGACCTATCTGTCAAACTACTTGGTCACAAATGCGAGCTGGAGTAAAAAAAACAAAAAACAAAAAACACACACACACCAGTAACTCCCAATAATGTCATCATCATCATCATCACTACTCCACCTGTGTACAGGCATCACAGCTGTTTTTAAATCTGCATTTTAGCTCAAATGTTATCCGTTTCTCAAAAACAGGGTGTGCAAAAACTACAAGCATTTTTTCTGTAGATCATTTTTTAAGCGTCTGAGCAACAACACAACTTTAAAACATCATTAAGAATGAAGAGAACTATTGAACATTTTTCCAGTTGAAAGACTCATTCCAGACATCATCAGTGGAGATGGCCTCATCTGACTCTAAGCCAAAGCCTACCACACCTAAAAAGACCATAACATATACTTATCCAAGATTAAGCATTGCGTTTATCACTGTCAAAAAAACTAAATTCTGAACTGAAACACTAAAAAAAGCATAATGTCTCCAAGACACACGTCCTGTGCTGTGACAGGTGGGTGGCTGGCAGAGCGGCCCACCTCCCTTTAGGTGTCATTATGTGATGACGACTCAACAATCGACTAAGTGGTTGGAACGGGCACAGCTGGCGGCGTTCACACTGCGTCCAGTGACAGTATTTGAGGACCTGGGAATGAGACTCAGCAATCGCCTATCTTTCTCTAGAATGACTGATCCCACCTTTAAAAAAGGCACCAATGCATTCAACACTGAACTCCATTAGCTATCAGCATCCATTTACCTGGCTTATCAGCTCTATTCAACCAAGTGAATTCAATGATATCGTATTACAGTCGTATGAACACAATAATGGACTGTGTATCAAATTGTCCCTTTTTTGCTACTTAGTGCATCACATTCACCCTCAGTCATTTTATTTGAGTGTCTGAATTCACTAGTGCTCTAAAAACTTCTCACAAATGAATAAAAACAACCTAAGTATGGCCCACTATGTTTGCTAACAATGCAATACATCACACAAAATCAAACTCTGTATAGTCCGTGACTATGTAAAATACAAACAGTGTCGTTATCTGATAGTTTGTCCTACAGACAGCACAAATTTATCTTTCAAATGTAAAAAGGAATCATTATCACAAATATTTGCTTGCGTTTCGTTTATGTAAAACTCTCATATCTGTATCGGCCTCGGACTGTCATTGTCGGTTGGGCTACGTCTGTATATGTTTAATTTGTGCTGCTGCTCACTACAGAGTACGTTATTGAGTGTTTCTTACATTGAGAATAGAAATGAGAGAAAGAGAGAGGGCAGACAGAGGGTGCAGAGTGTCAGAGAGCAAGTCGTACAAGTTATCATGACTGGAACAGGAAAACCACATTAGCAGACAGGAACAATAGTGACAAGCTGCCTCCCTACAAACACAGACGGGATGACACTGGACAAGATATTTGTTTCACCATAAGATACAGTTCTAAAAAAAAAACATCGAGTTGAATCAATATCTGTCGCCTAACAGGGTCTGTTTCTATTTGTTTTTTTTACCCCACTACTGCACTGTGGCATTTCATTTTTGTTTTGTTTTATTAAAGTTTGATTGAGTGAGCTCTGGGTCATCTTTTTGAAGGCAAAAATGTCTCCCGCTCGACTACAGCAGTAGCCAGCAGCTCCAACCTTGCTTGAGTGAAGCAGCGTACAGTGAAAACAAATGGCTCATGAGGGAAGGCATTACGGTTTTCTCCAAAAAAGGTTCATAATTTGGACATTATTTACTTACAAGGTACCAAAGACGGTACTATTTCTCATGTAGGCTCTGAAACTAAAATGAGCCCTTTTCTGCTGGCATGCAGTGAATACAGTTTCAGTCCTGAGTATCGCTGGGCTGCATTACTAGTTTTCTTCCAAGTACACAGAGAACAGCCCTTGCATAAAAAAGACACAGCGCTCAAAATCATTTTTCACTCTGGTGCGCATGTGACACAGGAATTCATAGTTTTCATTGTGATGCTTGGGAGTAGTGGGGGTGCAAGAATCTCATCCCTGTCATTCATTCAGTAGCACAGTGAGAGGAGGGGTAACGTGTGTAACTGTGGAAACGGGACATCGGGGCGATACTGCATCACGTAGCTGTGCCCAGGTCTTGTGTGACGGACACAGGGCTCTACTTAATAGCTGAAAAACACACTCTGCAGGCATCATCTTTACAGATACGTCAAATTACAATGTGGCTCTGGTATACTTGACCCAGGATGTAGGTCATAACAAACGTCTAATACAGCCAATCCAAATATGACACCCT